TCAATTATGACATTCTTTTTTATCATTTATTTACCAAGAATTACAGATTTGAACAATTTTTCTTATCTAAAAAGGGGTAGTATATGGATATTTTATCATAAATCTAATTAAACTTTTCTGCAAATAAGAATCCTTGACCATGATTATCCTTTATCTCATTTTCTATTATTTATTTACATAATTTCTAACTATTTAGCTTTAAGTTTAATTTAGATACTTTCTATTAAGTACTCATCATCTAAACAACTATAAACACATTTATATGAATATAGCTTAAAATTATACAAATTATAAGATTCATTCATATTATTTCAATCCATTTAATTCCAATTCTTTTGGATATTGAAAAGGAGTATTACAAACCGCAGAAATTCCAAAACTTATTTATTGCAATAAATGACTACTTTCAAACATCACTCTTGCAAATTCAGTAACTTAGATTAGATTTCTCTTTACAAATTTATCAGGCTAATAAAGTTTTTCTTACTAAGATACAGCCTCTTTTTTAGAGAAAGTACAGGAACTATATTAAATTTGATTATCTGTTCTTCCTTTGATAAATTTGGATCACTTAAAACTAATAATGCTGTCGCTAAATCGATCAAATGTAAAAATCTATTAGGAATTTCATTCATCGAAAACTAATTCCTCTAATCTTCTTTTCGAATTCTATTTCCTCTCTTATTATAATACATTTTAATATAATTCTGATTAGCTTTCAGATTATTCTTTTTCGTTTTCAAGTATTATTCCTTTGTCAATCTATTCCTTTAATTAATCCAGAGTTGAAATCTAATTATCATAATACCTTTACTTTTTAGGATTTTTGTTTATTGCATCCTTTAGAAATTGAATTCTTTTTAAATAAGTTCATTTTGTAGATCTTTTTAATTCTCGCTTTTCACCATTTAAATTGTATTCAATAACTCTATCATTTTTTTTTCTTGCAAACTTTCTATAGAAAAATGGTTGAATTTTTAGTTCCTAAATTCACTAATTTATCAAAATACAAATAAGCTGTATCTGGATCCTGTATTTTTTTAACATGATTTTAGAAGTACAATTAATAATAAAAATTAATGATTTCATCTATTGACAATTCCTCTACATCTTAAGCCTTTTCTATATCGCCTTCTTTCACTCTTAACTTTAAATATTTTTCTTGATGATATTTCATAACTAATTTTTTCTTAAGGAAAATTGCTATCATTGACTTTTTCTTTTTAATTTTCCTAAATAAGCTGTACTATAATCTTAACTTTATTATATTTAAGATTATCTACTCTAATAGAATTTGAAAAATAATATATTTTCTGATATTCAATCAAAAATTTTGTATTTAAACTTAAAAAATTGCCCTTCTTTTTTTGAGTTCATCAATATTAACATCTTCTTTTGATTACTAATTGTAGTTTCCAAATAATTTACATTATGTGTTATATATTTGTTTATCAATTAAGAATTTAATTATTTTGTATTCTCAACATGAATAATTGATATTTTCATATTGATGGTTTAAATATCATGAAGAATACAAAAATATGGAGAACATACATTAGGAAAAAATTACAAAATTAGAATTTAAATAATTGAGAAACAATTTCGACTTACATTTGAAAATGAATTGACTTCTTTCCTCATCTCTACATATTCTGGATTCGAAAAAGAGAGTGAAAAATTAATTGAAAAAATATATAATTAGTTATGATTTGGTTATCAATTACATTATTTGAAAAATCAAGTTAGAACTAATTAATCAATTGATTCTATATCACAAATAAAATTAAAAATTTTGTTAGACAGATTTGCAAACTGTGTTTTTAAGATTTTAGAAATTGATAATGATTAGATTAATGACAACAAAATATATTCTAAAGCATGTTGGAATTGATATTATTTATAAGTTAAAACTTTTTAACTACAAATTCTAAACTAAAAAAATAAAACATTTTGAGGCTTGTGATTGATTTCGGCTTTATCATAATTTG